TTTTAAATCATGTCTGAGTAGTTTACTTGTTGGGTTTAAGGGAATTTTCTATGGAGATCATATATGTTTGATGAGGATTGCATGAGCTATGAAGCCAAATCCTAGAAATTTTTCTTCTAAACTTATTTATGCATGGTAGTAGCGTCATGAACTATAATCTGATTTAGGTAGTTATAAGTGTTGTGAGAGTTTTCATTATCTTGCCAGATCTAGTTTGAGAAGAGCAATTCTTCCATATAAGATGAAAGCTATCTATGGGTGAGTTGTTAATGTAGATGAGTCTAGTGCAAGATTGCATACGTCTGTGGCTGGGGCCAGAGTCAAAAGCTACTGGTCAGGGTCTTGGATGACAGATGGTTATGATCACGAAAGTGACGTAGTCATTCCTTCGTGCTCGAGTTCTAAATGTTTAAGCTAGGATCTTTTATATTACATTTTAGCAATGTTTTAAATTGTTTATACCCTGGAGAAAATCTCTGACAACCTAGCGTCTCGTTTTTATAAGTCTTACATCGAGTTTTATTCAAGCTTTTTACATTAAGTCTTCTTTTACTTTCCCAACCAATTTTCTTAAGTCTTAGCATTAGGTCATTTTAGTTTTCAATCAATTTTTCCTTCCCTCGTTTAGTTTAAGATTTACGTTTTTAGTGACACAAAACCCTATAAAAACCGATTTAGTTCTAGACTTCCTTACTTCAATTTCTTTCAAACAGTTTTGCAGAAAAGATCTTTTTTTCCTGTGGATTCTATCCCTTAATACTAAAATCCATTACCTAAGCACAGAAAACAGTTTTTGCAGAAAAGATCTAGACTTTCTTAGTATTTAAGGGTAAAAGTTGTTCCCTCACACCTCACACCATTACTCACAAAGCTTAGCATTCTCACTTTTCGGTCATCATTCCGACCACTTTCTTGCTTCCGCTCCACTCCACGGTGGTTCATAAACCGTTGAGCATTTCCACCCTCAAACTCTTACACTTCTTCTCCTTTCCACCCAAAAAGCCACCAAACTCAGGCCATAGCAAACTCTCTCTTTTTCATGAGCTCTCGGCCCACTTTTCTTTTTTAGTTTTCTGATCTATTTCCATCTCTCCGATTTGCCACTTCATGATCTTTCCTTAAACTGTTTTCTGACGTGAACGTCGAAGATCCATCGGAAAACACACTTCCATCGTGTTTTTTTTCTGGGCCTTCACGTCTTTCTTTGTTTTGTAGGAAACTTGCAAGGACCAAAAATCTCCAAAACAGATATTATTCTTCTTTTTTGGTCATCAGCCTAAGCACATAGAACAATTCGACAAGCCAAACTAGAGGTACCGAGTTTACATAAATAATGTCTTGAAGGTAGACCCGAACACTTCTTTCTAGGTTGTCTGCCTTCGAGTTCTTTGCGCGTGGGATATGTGATAAAGGGATAAAAACTGAACCTGTCATTCATCTTCCCAATCTCCTCCAAGTATAGAGTAAAAGCTGGCCATTCTTCGGCTGCAGACACTATCTTCACCAACTCCAAAGAGTCTGTTGCAAAAGTTATCAAACAAGTTAATTTAATCAAATATTAATAAAAAACAAATATTATATATAAAAAATTAATTCCAGTATTCAAATATTAATTGAGATTGTTTTAGATTTCTTTAAATATATATTAGATTATCTATAAAAAATAAATCAGTTATTATCATTACAAAAATAATAAATCAGATATTATTTTAGATTTAATTTGAATATTCTACTTTAAATAATATCTATACTATTAAAAAAAACTTATTAAGAATACTACTAATTGTTTTTAAAAAACATTACTTTACATATGGAAAACCAATTTGAAATATAAAATATTTATGATGATGTAAATGATATGTTAATTATATAAAATATTTATGCTTTATTCGCAAATTAATAACAAAATAATGGGAAATAGTCCAATGTATAATTTAAATAATATAAATATATTTTTAATAAATATAACTGAAAATATATAAAACATGGGTTAAAAACATTTTATGTGGTTAAAATTACTAATTTTGAATCATACATGTATACCACAAGTATCTTTTCATACAAAATAGAAAATATAATAAAAAAATTATCGCATGCTCTGATTATGAATTAAATTTTAGAAAATTATATAATCCTTATTCTATACCAAATAAAATATCGTTAATACATCTCAAACTTTTAATAGATATTTATACTATACGGTAATATGAACAGGAAAATTAGAATTATGCTTTTATAATCATTTTTTGGATTTATTTGAATAGACAGGTCAAATTTATATTTTTATAATCGCTATCATTTTTAATATTATAAAAATTTAACTTTACACAAATTTATATCTAAACGTAAAAATAAATATTTTTCATATATTTAAAAATATATCTATAAAATAATAATATCTAAATTCAAAAAACATAAATTATATTAAAAAAAATCCGATAAACAAAAAAAAATTTTGTGCGAGCCCACAGAGTAGAATTTAGTATAGTCATTATAGTGTAATCTTTCAATATTAGAAATATGAGAAATAATATTATGAAAACCTTAGAGATTACCTGAAATCAGATCAAAATCATATAATGAAAATATTATAATGACTACTACATAAGTATGAGAAACCAGATCAAAATCATATAATGAAAATAAATTACCTGAAATCAGAAGGAAATTGAGGCCAGTTGTTGTAACAACTCTTAAACCTAAAAAAAAAAAAAAAAACTCTTAAACCTTCATCTCCAGGATCTGTGGAAGAAGGAATATAACCATTGGATCTTTGAAATAAACATCACACTTCTTTCCAATCTCTAACGTTCTTCGTGTGTTCTCCATCATGCTACGGTACCGGGTTAACCTCGTCTCTCTTCACCTTTATCTTCTTTTCCATTTCGAAAAACGTCTTCACAGCTTCCTCCACAAGCTTCCTTACGTCGCAAGGCACACCATTATTGATCACCTGGAAAAAAATTCCCATTTCTCACATGCAGACCCGGCCCAAAAAGGGTGGGCAGAGGTGTTCCTGCTTCTGGGTCTCTATCATTTTAAAAAAAAATTATTTGTAAAATGAGTCTAATATTTTTTTTTAAAAGTCCATTTTGGTCAAAAAAATTTTAAAAGCCATATTTCGTATAGAAGATATTTTCTGGAAAAACTGAGACGATTCCAGACGCAGCCAAGTAACGAAAGTGACAATTTAGGCGATTAGGGTTTCTCCTCTATCGCCGCCGGTGGTTTGGCCTCACGCCACTGCCGAGAAATTCTCTCTTTCCTCTTCTTACCTCAAACCCGTGGCTAGCCTCTCGCGTGTCATCGAGAATCTTCCCAATGGGGAAGAGGAGGCGCCTTCGGCCTCCTTTATCGGGCTCTCTAAAGCTTTCTCGTCTTGCCCTTGCTTCCATGGTTGCCTCCCGAAAGGGTTCTCTCTGCTCCGGTGATAGCTCAATTTCCGCTCTTCCGCCGTCGACTTCGTCTGTTCCTGGTATTTCAGATCTTCAGAGCTCCCCACCTTCTGGTGTCGAGACGAGCTCAGATCCCCTTGTCCCCTCTCTTGCGGAAATTCAAAGAGAGGGTAAATCATTGCAAATGAATTCGGCTGTCGAGACTCCTGTCTCCAGCTTGGTAAGAGAAAAGACTGAAACTCCTACAGCTCCCACCAAAAGTTGGTCGAGCTTGATTAGGGACTCATCAGAAATGGAGGAAATTGGAACGCCGACTAAGCATGTGTCTGGTCTTCCATTCGTTCTCATTCCGGACGAGAATGTGGAGGCTGCAAAGGAAGAGTTTAAGGATTTCTTGTTTGCGCGGTTCCATGGAGAAGCTCCGGAGATGGGAAGAATCATTGGCATTGTAAATGCCATATGGGGTCGGGAGGGTCCCCGGATTTTCGTCCATAACATTGGACAAGGGACATACCTCCTGCGTGTTATCTCTCCACGGGTTAGGGACATCCTTCTTAGTCGCAGTATGTGGTATATAGCAGGTTATCCGATGTTTGTGGCGCCATGGACCTCTGATTTTGACCCGGAACAACCACCAATTACCTCTGCTGTTGTTCCCGTAGAATTCCGTGAAGTGCCATATCTACTATTTAACAAACAGAGTTTGGGCAGAATAGCAACTGCAGTGGGAAAGCCAGTATCGCTTGCTCCCGAAACGGAAAGGAAAGAGAATTTTCAGGTGGCAAAGGTTTATATCAGGATTGATCTAGGAAAAGAGTTACCCTCGAAGGTGATTTCGGGTTTCTCAAATGGTTGCGAGGTTGAGATTTTAGTATCTTACCCATGGTTACCAACGAAGTGCATGGAATGTGGCAAATTTGGACATGATGCGACCAAATGCAGGTCACGATTCTCCCTACCAAATGCCATGCGCAGGATCAACGATAGGTCACCTAGTGCAGACCACAGGAGTGTCAGGCGATCGAGACAGGGTATTAGGAGGTCTCGTCCTGGCAGATCTCGGGCAAGGAGATACCGAAACAAAAGGAATTCTGACTCTAAAGTCCTATCAGCCGAGGCACTCAACACTAACCAAACTATCAAGGGTGTGGTAGTCATCTCAACTGCTGATACGGGCTATAAGGAAAACTCTCTTAATAGAAATGAACATAATGTTCAACCTTCTACAATAACACGAAGAGGTCGAGATGAGGATGCCATTCAGCTGTCTGTCTCAACTGATATTACGACTACTGGAATCCCGATTTCAGGAGAGTTGGGAATTCCTCAGAGCGAAAGATTGAATACAAGCAATGCTGCAGATGCAAATCTTGGGGTTCAGAATCAGATTTTGGTGAGCAAATCAGTTAAGACTGTTAGTGAGCCTGGTGTGGAGTATCAATCTAAACCATCGCTGGAGACATCTGATGACTCCAAGGAAGACGCACCTTTCTTCTTGGTTTCTCGCAAGAAGAGTGGCCGAAAGGTCACAAATCGCAACTAATACCGTATATAATGTTTTTTGTGTGGAATGTAAGGGGACTTAACAGTGACAGACGCCACAGTATGATAAAGGATTGGATTAATATCCATCATCCTCTTTTTGGAGCGCTCTCTGAGACGCATATTCAAGAAATAAACAAAGGCAGAATTCTAAATGCTATCCCGGTGGGTTGGAGATTTTTTGGAAATTTTGAACATCACCAGTCCGCACGGATTGTGGTTGTTTGGGACCCTCGGGTATCGGTTATTATCTATCAAGCTTCAGCTCAAGCTGTTACTTGCGGCATCTTTATAGCTTCGGAGAATGTAAGCTTAACTATCACTTTTGTTTATGGGTTTAATCTCGTGGAGGACAGGCATGCTTTATGGGAGGAGCTTGTTTCTTTGAATGCGACGACCCTTGTCTCTACTCACCCTTGGGCAGTAGTAGGCGATTTCAATCAGATAATGAGGACCTCTCAACATTCTGATCATTTGAACTTGGAGGTGGATATATCAGGGATGGAAGACATGAACTTGGGTATCCAGGATGCAGAGCTATTTGAAGCTCAGGCAAAAGGTTTGATCTTCTCTTGGTGGAATAGTCAGGCGGAGAACCCAATATCGAAGAAGATTGATCATGCTCTCATAAATCAGTCTTGGGCTGAGATATTTCCAGAGGCATATGCAGAGTTTTTGGAGCCGCAACAGTCTGATCATGCTGTATGTCTATTTCGGATTCCCTCTCTTTGCAGACAGAAGAGGAAACCTTTCAAATTCTTTCACCATGTGACTGATCATCCCGAGTATCATGACATTGTGGAGGAAGCATGGCAGTATGAAACCATTCAGGGATCAAATCAGTTTCGCCTAATGAGAGCTATGAAACTGTTGAAAAATGCGCTAAGGAAACTGAATAAAAGACACTACAGTGGGATTTCACAGAGGGTTAAAGAGCAAGATGCAAAAGTGGCAGGGTATCAGTGGCTACTCCTAAGCAACCCCGATACAGAGATAGCAAGGCAAGAGCATGAAGCCAAAGTTGTTTGGCAAACCCTCATCACAGCGGAGGAGAAATTTTATCGCCAAAAGTCTAGAGTTCGCTGGCTGCAGCTAGGTGACAGAGGAACAGCTTATTTCCACAAAACGGTTGCTCAAAGAGCCACAAGGAATCACATACATTTTTAAAAAAATGAAGTGGGCGATATCTTATCATCGAAACAAGAGATCGAGGATCATTCTGCGGATTACTTTCAGCAAGTCATTGGTTATACGGACTTGGCAGTCTCTCCTTCTTCAGTCGCTGAATTGCAGGACTTATTACCATTCAGATGCTCAGCACAACAGAAACTCGATTTGGTAAAGGAGGTTAGTGCAGATGAGATCAAGTCGATCATATTTTCTATGCCGCTTAGTAAGAGCCCTGGGCCCGATGGTTACTCGGTTGAGTTCCTCCGAGCTTCTTGGAACACTGTGGGTGAGGATGTAACCTCGGCTATTAGAGAATTTTTCAGAAATGGGAGGCTTCTAAAAGACCTGAACAACGCAGCTATTACTTTGATTCCCAAAATGTCGGAGGCTTGTCAGCTTAGAGATTACAGACCTATAAGCTGCTGTAACCTAATCTACAAAATAATCTCTAAGGTGATAGCAAACAGATTGAAACCTGTTTTGCAACTGTGTATTAGCAGGAATCAGGCCGCTTTCTTAAAAGGGAGGAGTTTAGGAGAAAACGTGCTGCTGGCTTCTGACTTAATAAGGAACTATGAATAATCATCTTGCTCGCGAAGCTGTATGATTAAGGTTGATATTAGAAATGCATTCGACACTTTGGCTTGGGATTTTGTTATTAAAGTGTTGGAAGCGCAAGAATTCCCACCTTTCTTTATATCCTGGATTAAGGAGTGCATTTCATCTCCAAGATACTCCATCTCCATCAATGGAGAGCTGGCCGGATTCTTTCCGGGAAAAAAGGTATTAAGGCAAGGAGACTCTCTATCTCCTTACTTGTTTATAATGGTAATGGAAGTTCTTTCAAGGATGTTAGAAAAAGCAGTTGTTCAGCACCAGACAAGGCTTCATCCGCTATGCTCTACCCCGAGAATCACACATCTCTTGTTTGCAGACGATTTGCTGGTTTTCTCTGATGGGTCGCGCCATTCTATCTCGGGTATCAAAGACACTATGGCTAGCTTTAAAGACATGTGCGGACTGGATATGAACAAAGAAAAGTCATAAATTTTCTTCGGTGGGTATAATGACATTCAGCGAGGAGTTCTAAGTGGTATTGCGGGCATTAAAGAAGGATCTTTCCCAACCAGGTACTTGGGATTACCTTTAAATCCTAAGCGCATAACAATGGCAACCTTACAACCGTTCCTTGAAAAGATAACGTCAAAGCTGCATTCCTGGACCGCCAAATTTCTGTCATTCGCTGCTAAGATCAGACTGATCAGTTCAGTCATCTATGGTATGGTGAATTTTTGGAGTGCAGTTTTCTGTCTTCCGAAGAGTTTTTATACAAAGGTTGATGGTCTATGTGCGGCGTTTCTTTGGAAAAACAAATTGGGTTCAGCGGGTGGTGCTCGGGTCGCCTGGAAGGATATCTGCAGGCCCAAACCGGAAGGTGGTCTGGGAATAAGACTCTTGGAAGACTTCGAAACAGTATTCAGGCTGAAGCAAGTCTGGATTTTATTTACAAATGCAGGGTCTCTTTGGGTCGCCTGGTTAAAAGCCACTGTGTTTGCGAGAAAGAGCTTCTGGGCTACTGAGGATGCAAATCGGTTCTCAAGGCCTGTTAGAAGCATGCTCCAAACAAAACACATGTTGATGGAATTCTTAAGGTGTGAGATCAGGAACGGAGAGGCAGCTTCTTTCTGGTTTGATACCTGGACAGATTTGGGATCACTTATATCGTATATGGGGCATGAGGGACCAAGGGAGTTGCAGATTCCCATTGATGCTCAAGTCTGTCACGCTTCTCGAAATGGGGAATGGCATCTTCCTTCGGTAAGATCGGAGGAAGCACAAGCGTGTCTTATGGCTATCACAACGGTCACTCCTCCTGCTGTCTCAAGAGGATCTGACAAATACATGTGGCGTAAAGCTCCAGGTATTTTTGTGGAATCATTCTCATCCAGAGCAACCTGGGATCATCTCCGGCATCGGTCTCCAACCGTTGCTTGGCATAGAGTTATCTGGTTTAAGCATAATGTACCTCGCTGGTGTTTTATATCATGGTTGGTTATGTTACAATGACTACCAACAAGAGATAGACTTCGGCGATGGGGAATGGATGTTCCAGCAGATTGTGTTTTGTGTTCTGGTGGCAGGGAATCACATAACCATCTCTTCTTTGAGTGTCCTGTTTCTGCAGCTATTTGGTCTCGTTTCACCTCAAGTATCTGGCCTAACCCACCGTTGACAGCCTCTGAAGCTGCCTCATGGATCATGGACCATCACCTCTCCTCCCCCTCTGATCAAGTCACCATCGTAAAGCTCATTTTCCAGGCCTTGATTTATATGGTGTGGAATGAAAGGAATGCTCGCATTTTCGCCGCCAATCATTCTTCGACTTCTTCTCTCCATTCTATTTTGGATCGACACATTAGAGACCGGCTTCTCTCTTTTCCTTCGACGTCTCTGCATTCTCCCTCTCTTCTTGCCGTTTATTTTAGCTTTATCTCTCCTCCCTTCTAGTCGTTCCGTCTTTGTAATAAGTTGCATCTTTGCAACATGTACAGTGTAAAATTGAAAATTGGTATGAATCTTAACATTTGCACCAAAAAAAAAAAAAATTTTAAAAGCCCAATAATTTTTTTTTGCCCAAGGGATTTAAAATATGTTGGGCCGGACCTGCTCACATGTATCACTAATCTCCGAGATCAGGTTTTGAACATCTTCAGGGTCGTCGAGGTGCGAGACATCGATCAGGGGTATTTCTTCAGGTTGGTAAGGGATGAAATCTATGCTCTGGTTTTTGGATGAAAGTTTGAACAAGATAGTCCATTTGTTGGAAGTAATGAGTTTGGGGGTTGTTAGTCAATTGAGTTTGTGCTGTGTTTGGTTGCATGTCGACAATAAGAATGTTGCTAGTTATATACCACTTTAACTTTTTTGTTTTTGTTTTTGAAGCAACTTTAAATCACACATAAATCAAAGTTTGATTTTATGCATATATTATTATCTTATTATATAAATTTGAACGTGTAAATTTGAGTGTAACACGTAGGACAAATTTCATTCACGAGATCTGACGAACATATGTTAATGTTAATTAAAATTGAAACATGTGTCCAAAATAATAACATACATTTTCAGATTTTTAATTATTTCCCAAAAAAAATACTACCAGATGAAATGGCTTAATGGTTAAGTACATGGATTGGTTCCATTAGCTCTTAGTTGGATTTCTGGTGAGAGAGATGCTTTACACCATGTCATGAGGTATTAGCAAAGGTTGGTCATGGGCTATGGAGGATTAGAGCCTAGACCCGAACCACTCTTTTTCAATCCAGAAATAAGAAAAAATGAATTATGTTTTCTAAATAGAGATTATTAAAATTAGAAAAGCTAAAATATGAGAAGAAATAAAATATAATAGAAAATATGTTTTAGAAACTAATATAAATCAATTTTTAAAATTTTAATTGCAAATCATAAAATATATTTTGTAAATAACTTACCAGAATGTTAATTTCTAATATAATTATATAGATTATAATTATGTGGGTGATCAATTTAAATTTTAAATATTTTATTATTCTATAATTTTTCTCTGTATCTTACGATATTTATTTGGTTAAAATATAGACATTGTAAACTTGAACATAAGATCACTTTTAGCATATATCAAAGGTAATAAAAATACATTTATACTATTTGATCAATATAAATTTATGCTTCCTTTCCAAATTTAATACAGAAAATAATAAAATAAAATGACAATGATATTTGGTTTTTAAAACATTGATATTCTTCTTTAATAATATTATTTCATTAATGTAGTTCAATATTTTACCCTGTAATATGTAATACTATGAATACTAATATGGCTATCATTCAATAAAATCTATGGGATTGAGTAATAACATTCATCAAAAATCATAGATTTCAATTTTAATTTACTTACATGTATTTTTAAATTAAATTAAAAGAATAGAGATTATTCCCTTTTTTCTAGCAAAGAAGATATTATATACTACCTTTTGCCAAAAAGAATGAATACCCAAAGATATTATATACTACATTTTGAGATTCTATAAGAAGGCAAAGGTTGTCTCTCTGGGACATCCCATCACTAAGCATTAGCATTCCTTATCTCTCTGGTTTATTCTGTCCTGTTTTCTTAACTTGGATATGGGAGAAGCCGTGGAGATCATGTTAGAAAATGGGTTCCCCAAGATTCGCAATGAGACCTCACTCAATCTGAGCATCCACTCCAACAAGCAAGATTGCCATTGGTACGAAGAAACCATCGATGATGATCTCAAGTGGTCTTTTGCCCTCAACAGGTTTACTTATTTCCTTTGCTTCAACTTCTCTTTCGATTACAGTGTAAACACTATAAATTAATAGCACTGGGAATCTCAAATTTTATTAATTTAGAAAATCATTAATTTATAAAAAGATTAATTAGGCCAAAATATAAATTTAGAACCAAAGATATTTATTAATCAATCGAGTTGATTAGTTTATCGAATATTAATTTATAGAGTTTCTAATGTATTTATAGTTTTACTTGATTTTGTTAATCTTTTATATCATTTTCTTTTTTTTCTCGATAGTGTTCTCCATCAAGGAACTAGTGAGTACCAGGACATTGCGCTGCTGGACACAAAACGGTTCGGAAAGGTACACATTTTCTTCAACTACTTCTTATGTAACAATAAATTTTCGAAAGTTCTAGAGCTTTCATTATTTATATTACAAATTTCTTAAGTGTAGTGAGTTATGATATTGTAGACTAATTAGTATGAAATCTTGGTATTTAAAACAGGTTCTTGTGATTGATGGAAAAATGCAAAGTGCAGAGAGAGATGAGTTTATCTACCATGAATGTTTGATTCACCCGGCCCTCCTTTCTCACCCCAAGTATGCATTTTTTATTTTATTTTTCTTACAATTTACTGGTATGTATATTTAACATTTTGTAATATGCAGTCAGTTAGTTTATGGAGTGAAAGTTGCTAAATAACTGAAGTGGGGAATAAATACAAAAAAAACGATGGAATTTTTGTCAGTAACTCAAAGGTTTTATTATACATAACTTTTCAAAATTGCATGTCATCAGATATAATTAGTTGAAATATATTATAATCACACGTAAATCCATGCTATTGTAAAACATCAAGCGCAAAAAAATAATCACAGTATTTATAGAAATTTCATCCGAGTCGTGTAACCCAAACCATGGTCATTTAGTGAGATTACTTAATAAGAGGGTGCAATTCGTTTGTGTATTTCGTTCATTTAAAAATTTATAAAGTATTTAGGATTTAGAAATTATTGTAAGAACTTGTGGGTTTCAATTTAAACTTGTAAACCCGTAGGTTTCTCTATGATTTAAATCTTTATATAATTTTTTTACATTTAAAAATTCTTCCAAATCCGTTTAAAATCTATTTAACCAAATTCACATGTAAATCATTGTTATTAAACAACACTTGATTTTCATAAAAATTAACAAATCACAGAACTAATAATACAGGATTTTGAATAGGATTTCAAAATACAAAAATCCAATAACACTTGATTTTACGTGAATTTACAAATCAGTTAAAATCTATAAACCAATAACCACCACTTAAGTTATATTTCTAGAATGCACAACACCTAAAATAGGTAAAATGTAAATTTGGTTTACTTGACTACTAAATTACTACTAGCAGTTATGTCGCCTTGCTTTTTATACGTGAGCATTGAAAAGAAAATAATTTGGTACTGTAAAAAGGAATTAAATTGTCTTAACTCTAACCATTTCTCTCCGAATAGCCCCAAATCGGTGTTTATAATGGGAGGAGGTGAAGGCTCTACTGCAAGAGAAATACTAAAACATAAGACGATCGAGAAAGTGGTCATGTGTGATATTGATCAGGTTAAAGTTAAACTTCTTATTTCTACTAGATATATTATCAAAATTTTAGTAACCGGAATAAACAGTGATCCTAATTCCTAAATAAACAAATACTAATTATTCAGGTGGTTGTTGATTTTTGCAAGAAATTTCTAACCGTTAACAGCGAAGCTTTCTACAACAAGAAGCTTGAACTTGTGATCAATGATGCAAAGTAAGGAAACAAAAACACATAAATAAATTATAAGGAGTTATGACTTATCTTTTTAATTATAATTTGAATTTTAAAATGTTAATGCAAAAGGGCTGAATTAGAGAAACGAGAAGAGAAGTTTGATATAATAGTGGGAGATTTAGCGGATCCAGTGGAAGGTGGACCATGTTATCAGCTCTACACCAAAACTTTTTATCACAACATCCTAAGACCAAAGCTTAACCCCAATGGCATCTTTGTGACCCAGGTCATTTATTAATTTTTATTTATCTTTAATTTTGGAGCAAGATAATATAAGAATGTATTTTGATATACTTCAAAAAAAAAAAAAAAAAAAAAAAAGGCTGGACCAGCTGGAATATTTACACACAAGGAAGTTTTCACATCAATCTACAACACCATGAAGCAAGTCTTCAAGTGTAAGCCTCCTTTGTATTTTTTTATTTTTTATTTTATGTTAGAGACCTTGTGTGGTTCATTTTGATGAATAACAAAAATGAAAACAGACGTAAAGGTTTACACAGCACACATCCCGTCATTTGCTGATACGTGGGGATGGGTGATGGCATCAGATCAACAGTTTGAGATTGAAGCTAAGGAAATGGATCAAAGAATCGAAGAGAGAGTGAAAGGAGAATTGATGTATTTAAATGCTTCTTCTTTCCTTTCTGCTTCTACCCTCAACAAGACCATCTCTCTCGCGTAATTTTCAATTTTCCTCTTTTCTTTAAGGCTTTGTTCGGAAAGACGAGATAGATGCGGGATAGGCAAAGTACAATCAAAATTCATAGATACTATTCTATCCCTCCCGCATCATTCCCCATCTTGTTCTTTGAACAGCTGGCTTTAATTAATATATTTTTACAGAATTGAAATTAAAATTGGGCAGGCTTGAGAGGGAGACAGAAGTTTTTAGTGAGGAGAATGCGAGATACATTCATGGTCATGGTGTGGCGTACCGGCATACTTGAAAAAATAAAAAAATAAAAAAATAAAAAACTGGTTTATTTCTAGTATTCTTTTCTCCGCACATAACCAGATGTTGTCTTGATTAGTTTTGTTGGGTTTTATTTTAGAGAAATTAGGCCTCCTAACAAAAACCAATACAGGATTTACAAAAATAACTACTGCAAATTCAATACACTGTTCAAATTTCAATAATACACAAAAACCCCTATTGGGTCTACTAACATAGACCCATATCCCCTAACACACTGGTGAGATTTAAATTTGAACTCTACCCCCTATTCTACAATAGGGCATTAATGATGATATTAACACCGCTTTCTCTAACCGGGATCTATACATTTCTCTACAGTTATCTCCATCAAATACCCTAATCTGCAGCTTTTCAAATTCCGATTTCAAAATAGGGGAACTGACGAATCGAGCTTATGGACCTCCCTCTACTTCCGGCTCGGATGTTCGCCGCTGGAGAAGAACCCTCTGGTGAGAGAGTGAACTCGTACCATAAGGCGAAGACGATTAACCACATTCTAGCCGCTCTGGAAGAGGATGAAAAAGAATACCTCCGGCGTTCTCCGTTCGGGAAACTTATTGCGACGGCGGAGAGGCCAGCCTTATCAGGTACTTTCGGCCATTTTTGTATTACGCGACTTTTAAAGGTGACAAAGAGGCATGAAATCTGGGTTTTATTTGCCGGGCGCCCAATCCGAATATCGCTGAGGGAATTTGCTATTGTTACTGGTCTCCCTTGCGGTAAACTGCCTAAGAAGAGCAAAAACAAAAAAAGAAACCCAGTCCGCGAAAAACCGTACTGGCCCGATCTGTTCGGTAATCTCAAGGCCTGCAGTGTAGATCTCGCAACAAAGATGTTGAAGAAGAAGACCATTGTTGATAAGACAGCTCGCCTAAAGTACGCCTGCCTCGCCATTACCGGAGCTGTGCTTTGTCCAACAAACCACAGATCTAAAATAATCCTTGAACATGCAGAGCTCATCAGAGATTTTGACGAATTCCTAGCTTATCCCTGGGCCAGAGTCGGATTTGAGTTGCTTATTTCTAGCATCAAGACAAAGGATGAGGTTGCGCTCGCGCAGAGCACTGTTGCTGTTAAGGGTTTCTTCCATGCGATCCAACTAATTATGGTGGAGGCAGTCCCTTCGTTGACTGAAGTTGTCCAACTAAATGACTCGTCCTCATCTTCAGAGTCAGAGGGGGAGGAAGAAGATCTGGATATGGATGTTCGATCTGAACCACAGGAAATTAGTGGCAATGCATCTGACTCGGCTACTTTAAACGGCTGCGAGAAAGCGAATGCGAAACAATCAAGTACCCAAGATAATCCCAAGCTTGGTCTGAGTCCTAGCCACGCGAGGGAATTGGATGAAGAATCACAGGTACACCAAGATTAGACCTAACACTCTTGAAATATATGTTACATTTTTTAGGTCATATATAATAAATAGTTTAGCTGTCTAAACAAAATGGTTTCACCAATAATCATTGTTGTAACCGTTACACATAAATATACTCCGCAAATAATGTTTTATATGTCTAATCTTTTTGTTGGACTGATAACTTTTTTGTTTGCATTCTTTGTGATATAGGCTTCTGTTTTTAGTATAATCCCCATCCCCGACGGCTTGTCCCTTGAAGGGGTTGATTTTAGTTGGTCAGACGACGAAGATGATCCATCTGTTGACAATATGGTGAGATTGATTGAAGAAGGATTCCAGTTTCAGAAAGATATGTTCAAAGGCGGGTTGACGCAGTCCGAGCTAGAGAAAATACGCATCGAGAGGAAGGAAATTGCGAAGAAGAAAGACAAAAAGAAAGCTGTGGTGAACGCCAGTAAAACGGCGAACGACCGGGGTGTCATGTCTTCTCCGGTAACCATAGCTGAGCATGTGACTGCCTGTTTAGAGAAGGATATCTCTGCACTCGCCAACAAGGTCGAAGAGATTGGTAACAGGGTGAATGGTTTGCGTCAAGATTTTAGCGGTTTATCTGAGGCCATAAGGTCTACTCTTGACGCCAAGTTGCAAGCAATGTCAGAGAAGATGATTTCCAGTATTATGTCATTCTTGGACAAACCACTATCAGATGTTGCACATGGGCAAGGTGGGCCGACTACTGCGATCAGTAACTCGTTTCAAGGGTTACCCGACGACCAAGGTAGAGCGGATACTAATGCTCCGGCTCGCAGACAGACGACGGAGGACGCTGCAATCGGTGCTGCCATTAATATGGTCAACAACCTGGTTAATAAAATTTTTATTTGGTACCCTGTTTACATAATGTGTTCTGCCTTTTAATGTATCAATATATTAACACTTGATATGCAGGATGTGTCTCCTCACACTCATTCATCGTTGAACGTGTGTGCGGGTCGGCCGTTCTTGACACCATTTGCTGCACCGTTTGCCAATTCAGAAATCTTCCCTCGCTCGACTGACGTCGTCATGAATGAACATTCACCACAGAATGAGGATGACTCGGGAGACGAGGCCATCGGCGATGAAATTCCGGATGAATCTACTCTTGCAGGGGCGGTTCGATCACGCCGCCGGAGCAAGCGAGCCAGGACGGAGCCACAAGGGTACAAGTCATACCAGGTTGATCCCAAATGGATTAACTGTACCATTTCACCCCACATTTTCTCTTGCCCTCCCGAGAAAGTTTGTCCGTTCTTGCAAAAATTTGATCGGCTTGAAGAATTGTTGAAGTCTCCTAGGTAATGTAAATATGAATTTTTTTGGCGAGGTCGCAACCAAGTAAAATTATTAATTTCGATAGTGTTTCTTTTTCAGGGTCATCGTTTTAGGCAATGGTAGCTCCATCAACAATAAAGAACTTCTTGAGGTCGTCTCTCGAACAAAACATATGTCATCGAAGGTATCATTATATCTGTTTGGAAATATTTGGGTTTAGATTATGCAAAGTCACATTTAAAGTTAGATCGTTTCTTCGGGTAGTTCCGTATAACACGTGGAGATGGAGCGGTAAACTTTTTATTAACAGAGATAATGCATTTGGTAATATTAAAAGACTGTTCCGTAGTAGTTGTAATCTGTTGGAATCTTATAAATTCTGGGTAACAAAATTGTTAGATGGGGTAAAAAATATATTACAACACCAATGTATTGGATGTATTGCGAACAATTAATGTTTAAAACATCATTCTTTGTCCCTTTCCTGTGCATTTCAGATGATGGATGCCCTCTTGTTTTACGCAAGGGCCGTATTTAGCCGGCAGTTTAAAGACGAGGCCTACAGCGGTACAGAGTTCTTGGAGACGACATTCGCAAATCAGCTCATGAAGCAGTTTTCCCGTTTTAGCAAGCTAGCGCATAAAGACAAGCACCGTTTCGTATTTGGTGACACGGTAATGGTTTTCTTGGAGCCAGTCACGACTGAATCTCCTGGCCCAGAACATATTTACTGCGCATATAACCTAGACAAGGAGCATTGGTTAGGTATTTATATTGATATAGTTGGCGGATCCATTCACGTGCTGGATTGCAACACAAGCCATCGATCCGATTCTTTCGTGAAGAAGGCCCTCATGCCCATTGCTCAGATGCTTCCGTACTTGGTTAAGCAGGTGCTGAGCAACAAACATTGCATCGACGGCAAGTGTTTCATTGTGCATAGGAGCAAGGGCATTCCAACGAATCCCAATATTTCTGACTCAGGTGTCACCGCCGCCCTTCTGATCATGGCTCATGCTATTGGAGGTTTCGACCGTTGCAAAAACATCAACCCGGTTAATTTGGACTCTGAAAGCAAGATATTGGCTGTTCGTATGTTTGAAGAATTTGACAGCCCTCTGTAATCCTATTTAAGCTCCTATGGTTACTTACCTGTTCTATCTATGCCTTGAACTCTATACAATATTTGGTTTTGATTTTCATGTCAGTTGGATTTCTATGTCATTGAATGTTGCATCTCATTTGGTTTTTTTTCAGTTAAGTTAACCTAATTGTTACGTAGCGACAATAATTGTTATATGTGCTCGTTTTTTCTCTAGCTCGGCCAAATGTATTCAGCAATGAAGGTAATCCGTTGGTGTTGGTACAACAAATAATCGCAGGTAAAGGTACATGACTAATATCTGTGTTGCCGCATACACGAGGGATTAAAGCGGTAACCAATGTATTAGATGCAAAAAACTAAAATACGTTAACTTAATTCGAACTTAGTCCAGTCAACAAGTTTATAGTTAGATCAGTAATTGTTGAGTTAGATCACTAAGATTTGAGTTACCGTATAATTGAATAATTAGAGCCGTAACCGATGTATTAGATGCAGGGTTCTAAACTGTTTAAACTAAGTTATAAATTATGGACATCATCAAATTATCCCAGCCCCATTTAGATAAGCACTAACTATATAAAAGAGATGATCCAACAATAAAGTGGACATCTTGATTCATTACTTAGAAGGTACTTAAGGAATTGGAACATTACAACACCCCTGCCAAAATAGAATAAAGGGGTTCTTTTGGGTTTCTTCAACATCCATAACTTTAAAACATGCATATTAAGTTAAACGCCGACCAAACATGAAATACATATGGCATCCAAAAAACTGCATCATGCCTTCATCCTACTACGTTGCCACATCCACACATCCCACTTTATATAGGCGCTTTGCAGGTCTTGCGGTTGTGACCCAAACCACCGCACCTCCCACACACAGCGAAGCGCTTCACTCCCTGCCCAGAAATTAATATACATATATTATTACAAGTCCACAACTTAATTTCATGGGAAATTAAAATGTTAGCGAGATAATATTTTAATTACCCCAAACTCCCCGCGAGATGGAAAGCGTTTCTTGCGAGGGCGTCCTGGTGGGCGTCTGGTACTCGGTGGCAGGAGGATAAGGGAGGAGAAGTCATCCCCCATGGTCATAGAGACTGTACCTGAATTGAGGGGGTAGATGCTGCATTCATAAGCTTTGCTCCAGAAACCAACCGAGTACTCAAGACCAACATAAGCATCGACTCTCTTTCCAGACCGCATTGCAGCGACGACAGCATGGGGACAAGGTAGGTCGTGCATCTCAAACTCACGGCAGGTACAAGTTTTATGTTGAAGATTCACTAGGAAAGGCACCCCCTCTTTGTTCCTGATTTCGAACTCTTCATCATTGATCTTGCGGTAGCCATAGCCGGTGGACTGTTCGAAATTCTTGGAAAGCAGTTCCTCCGCCTTTGGAGTGAGAGATGTACTTGCTGCAGCTGCTGCATCACGCCTCTCACTAAACCAGCGCATTAGAGTAGCTCGGATGAACTCAATGAGTGGGATGATAGGTAAGTCACGGGCTGTTGCCAGGGCGTTATTTAGAGACTCTGCCACATTACTTGTCATGATGTTATATCGGGCTCCAGGAAAATGGGATCTGGCCCAGTGTTCGTAGCCAATGGTGGTGAGGTACTCCCCGCATGCCCTGTCTAAAGACCGTATCTCGCAAAACAGAGTATAGAACTCAATGGCGGTGTATGTCCTCGCTGCCTTGGAGACCAGGTAGCCCAGATTCTTCTTTTTAAAGATTGCCTGAATGTTGCGGGTGAGGTGGACGATGCAAGCACAATGTCGCGCCAAGGGGTAAACCTACAATTGTCGTTTAAACCAATTCACAATTTAGGTTAACCAATCGTTAACGTACGTAAATAGAAGTTTATATATAATAAAGGTGCTACCCGTATACACACAACATTAGCGAATCCAATACTAAAATTATATCCTTAACCATATAGTTAGCAATCTAACATAATTGTTAACAGATAACAATATATGTACGTGCGTTACCTTTCGCAGGCCATTGTAGATGGAGTTGTGCCGGTCCGACACGAAGACAAGATTGCTATTGTCTGGAATTAGCTCCATCAACTTGCGAAAGAACCAAGTCCATGATTTATCGTTTTCTCCATCTACAACTGCAAAAGCGAGAGGGTATAGTTGGTAGTTCCCATCCTGGAAACTTGCAGTAAGGAGACACCCAGCGTATTTCCCTTTGAGATGGGTACCGTCAACCACTATCACTTGTCTCATGTAGCTCACACCATTCAAGCATGCACCAAGTACGAAGAAGAGGTACTTAAAACGCTGTCCTACACCTTCTTGGAACTCGGTTTCCAAGGACACAACAGTTCCTGGATTAGATGTTACCAACTTTTGGAGGAATGTTGGCAGTTCCCTGTATGAGGAGCCTTCTGTTCCGAGTCCTGCATTCATGGCCAACTCCCTGGAACGCCAAGCTTTCCAGTAAGAAATGGGTACGTCATGCTCGTCCCGCATCATATCTCTCAGTTCGGTTGGGCGTGGGCCGATTCCGACACCCGTGTACTTGGCTCGGAATAGATTCCCTATAACGCTCGCGGTTGCCTGTTGGTGGAACCGGGCTCTGTCATCAACAGTGCAGGCATGGTCTAGGTTTGCTCTCCTGACCTGGAACCACTCTATTCCTTGCATCTTCACTGCGTATACCCGCCATGGGCATCCGCTACCCACACATTCAAGCACCATCATACTCGGAGTGGACCGGTGGTTCTTGAAATTGAACTTCTTAGTCAGAGCGTAGAGCGCCATATGGAGCTTGAAAGCGTCTTGATTCTTGAATACCATACCAACATAGAGAACTCCTGGTTTGTTGGTGCCGTCACCTGAAATAAAATTACAGTTTGATATGTTATACTTCATGTGTAAAGTTTACGGACGTCACAAGGTATTGTAAAAGAAATTCACCAATGTAGTCGTAGCTCTCATCGGTGGAGGTATCATCTGATAGCACTTCAGGTTGCGTCGGTGACTGGCTTGGACCTCCTTGACAGCCAATGGTTAAACCCAGATAGGGCCTCCTGTGACTTTCTTCAGTCAGCTTGCCTTTACCCTTTGCAACTTGTTTGTCCATCTCTGTTGGGACATTGCTCGAAGCTCCGAGGCATAGAGTTGACACTGGTCCTGCATCGTATCCAACATTATGGTTATCGTATAATAAAACCATTAACACACCAGATAAAATGTTAGACGACGTACCTCCACAGATTGGAGCTCTAAGTTTCAAGTTAGCGATCGCTCTTGTCATACTAGGACCGTGTAGAAAACCTTCGTCACTTAAAACCTTCTCTGATGTGGGCACCACATTCTCTTCAGAAGACGATGCAGTACTGGAATCGTCATACTCTGTTCCTGGGTCACCATCTGCCAGATGAACATCATCCAACCCGATTAGCTCGTCCTCGGTAAGATGCTCAGGAACTGCACGTTGCGTGAGCGGTAAAACTGCACCTTCTCCGAATAATCCTGTACTTTAGATACAATCATTACATGATTCAGATGTATAGCTACATTTGTATATATGATGTATTATTAACCAACGGGGGAATGTTACCGGCATAAGTCATCTGATTACGGCCGGCTGTGAGATCGACATGTTCAAATCCGGGTGGAGGACCGGTAACCCCGACGTTACAGCGCCTATGATAAAGGTACTGTTCCATATTGATAGCTCCCACCGTCACGCAGAGGCCTATAGTTTCGCAGTCCAGTCGGACTGCCATGAAAAGCTCTACGTCGTTGTTGTTTATGATGTCAAGCGGTGGGTTTAGCTTCCCATGTGGCACAAGCATCCAATCAGGTAGCTGGTAAGTCATCGCCATCATGTCATGCTCGCCGAGGCCATACCGGGCTCGAACCCTTTCATCAAGACTCTCGAAACTTTGATTCTCCTGCACCATTATACTGTAGCTAAACTCACCCACGTCTGCCTCGAACTCCCATTCCCCGATCATTGATTTCCTCCAAACTCCACGACCGATTCTCACCAAGATTCCCATCACGAGCTTGATTAACTAGGCATATTCAAAGCTCACATGTTAGGATATTGCTTTTGGTAACAAAAAGACAACATATAGTTTCTATTTCCAGGAATCGACAATATAAAGTTACAAAAAGTAAATCATAAATGAGATGTAATAAATGTACCTTTACGAAGCTGATTCAAACAGAGATGATTTTTTTTTGTGTGTTTAGATCGAGTGTTGCGGTGTTTGTAGTAGTTTAGATTGCTAACAAATCGAGCAACCCTGATATACACTTATATAGCAGAACAACAAACCCCTAAAACGTTTACATACAGTCTTACACCTATACAGCGTGTTTGTCGACGAAATCTTTGAAAATATTCAGCATTAAATGCTAGTTCAGGCGGGAAAAAATTCTGTGGACAGGAAGCTGCTTCGTCGAAAATATCTCTGTCCTACGATATACTTAGGCCGCCTACATGAATCATTACGTCTCTATAATCTGTTGTTTTTCGTTTTAATTAATTAACATCTTCAAGGTCGACATGGTAATTTCTCCAACCCATGGCAACAGTGTACGAGAGTTTTGCTTCTCAATTGGGTATGCGATTCATTTCGGCCCACTTTGTGGTTTTCCAACCAGTTAACTCTTTATTTTATACATTTATTGGGCTTTTGTTTCGATTTATTCCTATTCAGTTTATCTTGCCTACTAAGACATCATCATCATCAATATCATCAATATCTTCAATTAAGCAATTTATATAACCGTTTACAGATTTTTATGGTAAAGCAGACTTGGAAATCTAGAACCGAGTTAGTATAATTATTGTTTTGTGGCCTTGGTCAAAGCTATAAAACCAAAAAAAAAAAAAAAAGTGGTCAATGTTGTGAAACAGTTATCGAGAGAGAGGAAATTGGTGTATCTTATTCCAGGGAGAATGAGAGGTATATATAGTATTACAAAGATCTAGTCACCACCACAAGTTTCCGATGTGGGACAAATACAATAATAGTTATGGGCT